AAGCGACAGCGGAGCAGAGCGCTGTGCCAGCAGAGGCCAAAAGACAAGCTGTCCCGCGGCATTACAGAACGCATGGAAGGGCCAAGTGGCAAGAGAGCACTAGCACCGCAGGACAATATGGTCAGTCCTCTGCCTTGCCAGCTGGGACTGGGGCTCCTTGCTTGCCAGGGGTGTGCTGAAGGGCTCGTCTTGTTGCTTCACAGGTACTGGAGGAGGTGAATCAGGACCTGGAGAGATTTGGAAACCGTCTACTAACTGAGATCAAACCTCTAGGATGGGAATGCGAGTTGAACCCCCCTGTGTTTCGGCAGTATGATGCCTGGGGGCGGCGGGTGGATCACATTGTCACCTGCTCGGCCTGGAGGAGGATGAAAGAGATTGTTGCAGAAGAGGGGCTGATCGCTGAGGCCTATGAGAGAAGATACTCCAACTGGAGGTAACTGGGGGAGAATGGGAATGACTTGGTGCCTTCCTGGTTATTCTTGGCAAGGTATATTCAGCACCTTGTAGGACTGAACTTCTTGTTGTATAACAAGTAACAGATGATGCATGGACAAAAGCACACCTACCGCTGTACTGAACAGCAGTGTCTGTCCGCTGTGATGTTCCACATCAGCAGTGATAAGCTGTAACTAATGGCCTACAGTTGATCATCATATTCTTTGGTGTCACCTTCCTGATTCTGGGGCCTGGCAGTTCCCTGCACTGCTCCAGCTTTACACACATTAGTTGTAATGCAGCTAAAGATCTGGGATTTTACTTGCAGTTTCATTGCATTCCAGTCTCTGGGGACAGACCTGCATTTCTTATTTTTAAAAACTGCACTTAATGTGCACCAGCTGGCAAGCAATGCCTTCCATCCAGGCTTGCACTGGCAGTCCCTCTGGGACTGAGAAACTCTGCTGCTCCTCTTCTCTTTCCTGGCTGAAACAGTTTCTACCCTCTCACAAATGAGTGGTCTGATTCTCACCTGTTTTGGCTGTATTTTGTTCCTCTCTTCCTCGTCAAGATGTTTTATCCTCCTGCTGTTGAACTGGTCCATAACCTGTCTGTTTTCACTCTCTTTCTTTCCTAGCCGTCTGTACCAGGCTGTCAAACTCTACTTATATTCAGTCTTCTCTGGAAGTTTCGGCTGTCCAGTGGCCATGACTGATGGGGCAGCCAAAGTCATTGAGGTATGAGCTCAGCTGGTCTCTGAGGGCACAGCCCACGTCCTGGCAGCGCTGGTTAGAGACTGGAGCGCTGGCCAAGGATGGGGGAGAGCTGATCTGCCGTCTGGCTCCGGGCATGGCCCTTCCTTGCTCTGTGACTCAGCTCCGTCTCCCACTGCCTTTCTCCTTTAGTGACAAAGTCTTTGTGCCCAGGCTAGCTTTTATGTTTACTTACAACACTGTGTACAATAAGGCCTTTGCTGCCTGTGGCGCTGCAGGTAGTTGGAAAGTTGTCCCATATGTTTTTACTAAGAGATAGTTTTTTTTCCTGTTCCTTGTGTGGAGTGGCAGTTGAATGTATTGGGCCAGATCCATACCTGATGTAAATTAACCAAGCTAGCAAGACTTTCCCAGTCTGAAGATTTGGCTCTGCATCTTAGCGATACCCTTTGCACTATGTCAGTGGCTATGTAGGGTGCAGAGAAAAGCTAGTCCTTAAGTAGCTAGTCCTGGGCATTTTAATTCAATAAAAATAAAAAAAAAGCATGAGGCAGTTACCTCTTTCCTGTAGCTCTTTGGGTGCTGGTGACATCCAGTGTGTATGAACGTATGCTGATACCCTGGCACGTGTGCTCTTTTGAAAGCTCTCTCTCCAGATGTCTGGCAGTGCAGAGATCCGAGAGGGGTAGAGGTGCTCAGGACTCTCCTTTGCCACACAAGTCTGCACCATCTGTCTGCAGAGTGCTCCAGCAGCCGCACAGGAGCTGAGCGGTTTCACAGACTCTCGGCAACACGTGCAGACGGACCGCAGTGCGGGACGCTCAGTGCCCTGCTTGCCTGCTTGCAGACCATCCGTTCTGAGCCTAGGGCACACCAGTGTTCATTCAGGCAACCACCTGAATTAATCTCCTGTGTTATGATCATCTTGGTTTCTTTTCCCTCCCCCAAAACAGTCACTAGGTATTCCTGGATCTCTGAAGAACGCTTTTGACCATCTGACATCCCGTGACCCCAAGAAGTTCTGGACCTCTGGCCAGTGGATGACCGAGCGCAGGGGAGGCTCTGACGTTGGTACGTGTTCTGAGGTGGGAAGAAACAGCAGCAGCAGCTAGAGGTGTTAGCAAGAACTGAGAAAATGAAGGGTGTGGGGAACTTACAAGGCCAGGTAGCTAGTTCAGGAAACTTCAGCAGAAGTCACCCAAATCCTCTGCATAGCTCTGCTTTTTAACCAACAGAAGGCCCAACTTGTGTCCACTGATAAATGCAGTACACACGGGCAGGTACAGAGCTGTGTTCCTTGCACAGATAACACACTGATGTCTAGCTCTATAATCTAATCCTTGAGCGAGACAGTCAGACCCATCCCAGCTGGGACGGAGAAAATATTCTTCACCTTCAACTTGTACTCCTTGGCTAATGTTAGTAATAGCGTGATGGGCCAGGAAACCTCAGAACTCTGCTGCGAAGACAGAAACGTGGAAGGGGAGTCACCTGAATCTGATGAACCTGCAGTTGGTTTCCTGGTGGAAGAAGTGAAAGGGTCAGCCGTAGAGTGAAAGTTGTGCATCATTGCAGAACTCCTGATTCTGTAGCACCCTTTGTTGTTCTTGGCCATGGTAGCTCCTAAAGAAATGGAGGCATTGGATTGTACATTGTGGTGCATTCTGCTTACAAAGCACTGCCATCACCAGCTGTTAGTCTGGAGCAATTGCTGGAAAGGCTCGCAGTTAAATAGCGTATTTCCTTTCCAGTCCTTAACTCTGGCTGCATTTCTTATCCAGGGTCAATGAAAGAGATTAGCAGCTAATCCATACTCCATCCTGATAGCAAGAGGTGACTTAAAAGAGCTGCTGCTTAAACCGAAAATCAGCATTGATTAATACAGAAGTTCCTGTAAAGCCAAGATGATCTTCTCCTTTCTTGTAGCTAACAGCACCGAGACAGTGGCCAGAAAGCAGCCGGATGGTACCTATCGTCTCTATGGTTTTAAATGGTTTACATCGGCTGCTGATTCTGATGTGACATTAACCCTGGCCAGGGTAGCGGATGCTGAAGGACAAGTAAGACAGTTCTGTTTGATGGTGGAATCAGGTGAAGGAGCAGGGACGTTCTTTTTCTTCCTTGTTTCATTGTAATGAAATCCTCTTTGCATGCCTTTCCGTGGCCCCCAGGGTTCCAGCGGCCTGTCACTGTTCTTCCTGAAGGTTCGAGATGAGGAGGGGAAGCTGAACAGCATCCAAGTGCAAAGGCTGAAAGACAAGTTGGGCACGCGGCAGATGGCAACAGCAGAGCTATGGATCGATGGAGCTAAAGCAGAGCTAGTACGTAGCGTTTCACCTTCCTCTTGGGGCTGGGCTGGCTTAGCATGGCAGACCACTCATGGGGGTTTTGGCAGTGATACCAACCAAAAAACTTCCTCTCTTCCACCTCTGTGGCTGGCTGTTTACTTCACAGAATGGGTCACCAACGGGGCTGTGTGCGGGACAGAGCTGAGAAATCTCAGGTAAAGCCGGGAGGGAAGAAAAGAAAAAAGGCAATTTTAAGCTGGTCAGTTCCCTAATCCAGTTGCATTGACCCAGCTGAGGGACAGTTCTGTGTAGCATGGAGGCAGGAACAAGCAGCAGGGACCAGAACTGATCATGCTGACATGGTGTCCAAAGGCCTCTGGTCCTGCCACAGACTTGGCTAAAATGAGACTGCCATATTTTAAAGCAAGCAGTTCTTTGTGGTGCCTGAGGACAGACAGAGACAGAGCGGACAGCCTATTTCTATCCATCTGTTGACACAACTTTCACTTAGATATGCATCCACTTCCATGGCTGGGCAAAAGGCTTACATCAGCCTTTGTTCCTTGGTGCTTTCAGATCTCTGCAGAAGGTCGTGGAGTGGCCTGCATCTCCAGCATGCTGAACATAACTCGGATCCACAACGTCATTAGTGCAGTAGCTTCCATGAGAAGGTGAAGGCAGCATGGATCCTCCCAGAGCTGAAGGAGCAGCTTATTGGGACAAGGGGACTTTGCAATGCTCAGCATTGCAGCTGATTGACATCTAATGCCTTTGCAGGCACAGGTCTGGAAGCCACTGTGGGTGGGTGACCCAGGCTGGTGTGGTACAGCTGAGCAAGGCTTTTTCCAGTGGGGGTGGCTGGAAGGGAAATCTCAGAAGTGGGAGGTTGCTTATCTAACTGCTTTCCCTGGCTGAATTCTCTCTAGGATGATCAGCCTGAGCAGGGAGTATGCCCGTAGGCGGGTTGCCTTTGGGAAGCTTCTCAAGGACCATCCCCTGCACATGCAGACGATAGCCCGGATGGAGGTAAGGCTTTTCGGGGCCAAGCTGAACCTGTTGGTGAGGAAAGAGGGCAGAGATCCTCAGCTGCTAATGAGCACAGCCAGCCTGCCTCTGTGTGCAACAGTCAGGTGTAAAAGGCTGCTCCTGCTACAGCGAGATGTATGCAGCAGGGAAATTGCCATATTCTAGTGGGATTTGATCTGATGATAGGCCTGGCTTCTCTGTTGGACTTCAGGTTATCCTAAACAACAGTTGCCTGGGAGCTAGCCTGAGAGGAGTGCCAAAGTTCATGCGTGCACCCGCTATGATATGCCATGACCTCTCAAGTTGGTCATTAACAGCAGAGTCCAAGGATGACATCACAGTCTCCTAAACTGCAGTTTACAGACTCTTGTCCAAGACGGATGCATACTCATCCAGCTTCCCTGGTAGCTCCTGCACTGGGAGATGGGCTGTTCCCAGCAGGCCTGAGGAATTCCTGAGTAGTCACTGTGCACTTCAGCTTCTGAGAAGTTTGTCTTCACTGTGTACCTGCACAGTGCTCATCACCACAAGGCACAGCCTCTAGATGTGAGTGCCATCTAAGGCAGTAACAGACCATGGAAAGGAGAGCAGCATGAACTGGCACTCTGGCTCTGGGAGGAATTTCACCCGTGGGCCTTTGCTCACTGCAGAATGTCTCACAGCTTTGCCACAACGCTGAGCTGTAGCAGCTCACTAAATCCACAGGACACAGGTGGCTTCCCACCCCGACTAACTTGAAAAGGGAGGCACACGGTTCTCTTCTTTTCTTAAGTGGTGTAACATCAATGCTTGCCCTTGGGCTGCGGTAGGTTCATGCACATTTTTAAAACAGTATTTAAAAATCCTCTTGCAAGGTGGGGGAAAGGGAAAGCGGTCAACATCTGTCAAACTTAAAGCTGCAGCATCTCTTAGCCTCTGGCCAGAACTCCACATCTGAAAGAAAGGCCAGGTCCTATATAGTCTGACAGCACATCATTACGCACAGGGGCTACAGAACTCCATATCCTGGTGCTTCTCAAATCACAGTGTGCCAGGGAAGTAAGTTGCTTAGCAAGAAATCTGTCAAAGACCTTGCAGATCCTGCTGCTTAGAGGTTGACCATCAGATGTGCAGTCTCATGTCCTTTACTCTTGGAAAGGATGTGGATTTGTGACCTGGATGCTTGATAGGAGCTTTGATAAGGCTCCGAGTAGGCCTGATGAAACAGCATTGCTCCTTTCCTCATACCAGATTGCAGTGTCCAAGAGTGGCAGCTGCAGATGACCTTGAACATTTGATGCTTTGTGCCTTGGCTGGTCAGTGGCCTTTGTCGCTGAAGCTGTGGGCCTGTACGGGCAGGGGTGGCATTTTCCCAGGTCTGAGTGTCGCGCATCCCTTCAAGACAGTCTCATGGCACCTCAGCAGACCAGGCTGGAATCACCCTGGGTCAAAGATCCGTGCCAGTGAAGCTCCCCACTGCTGTGCTTGCAGGTGCAGACACGAGGGGCGTTTCTTCTGCTTATGGAGATCACTCGTCTGCTTGGACTTGTAGAAACCAACATGGGGAGTGAGCAAGACCAGCTTCTCTTGAGACTGCTGATACCAGTTGCCAAACTGTACACTGGGAAGCAGGTATGGAACAGCCAGTTTGATCAGCCCGGAGCGGGACCGTGTGGCACATTAGCAACCACAGAGCTGGAAAGAAGAGTGATTAACACGGCCAACGTGAAGGGCAGCGATAGCAGGGGATACTGGCAGTGACCTCTAGCTGCAGGGCCTGCAGCCATTATTGCTCTGCACTGAGACTGGACTTAGTGGGTAGGAGACTTGTCCCTTTGCTCTCAAGGCCACGGATCAGCCCTCTGATCAGAACAGACAGAGCCAGCACTGTCTGTCAAGTACTCCAAGTGCCATGGAAGAATGCTGCTGAGGCTGCCCCAAGACCAAGGTGGGGCACTGAGCCATGGGGAGTATCTTTCCCCTAGTTAGGAATAAATAGAAGAGAAGGTGTTAATTAGCCTTAACGTCAGGTGTCTGTCCCTCTTTTAATTGTCCTCACTTTAAATATTCAGAAGCTTACATGCCATAGGCAAGTAGAAGGTAAAGACTCTCCTGGACTAGAGACACATACTCCCATGTACCAAGCAGACCACAGGTTTATCCTTACCTAGAGAGGACTGCATTGAGACAGGCTCTCCCTGCATCTTCTCCCAAGGTCTGACTGCTCCTGCAGGTCATCTCTCAGTGTTACTCCATTTTCATTCCCCGGGCTGTTCCTTCTGCTTATAATGAGCAACCTGCCTCAGCGGTGGGATCCAGTCAGTCCCATCCCAGCAGGAACTGCTGTG